TTAAAACAAAGTTGAGGGACGAAAACCGTTGAAAATGACAAAAATTAAGGACCAAAAGTGAACTTTATTCTTACTTACATTATTTTAATCCGAGTAAATTACACTTTCCGTCCCTTCATGTGGTTTGTTAAAAATTGTAATTCCTATCTCGTGGTTGAGAAATTAAGGTTTTCATCATAACTAGGAAATGTTACCGTGCTTTGCGCGGTCGTTGTTACTTAATGAAGAAAAACATCGAGAAGTTTGAATTAAATATAAAGTGGTAAAAGTATCACAATAATAATGTTAGAATTGTATGTTCGAATGTTTGGTTTTGTAAGCATAAAGAGAGTTGCAATATATTGTTTCAGAGAAAATGAATATGTAGTGTGAAAGAATTTTAGGTTGTGATGGAGTATGTGATTTAAGAAATTAATAAGTGAGAAGTTTAGATATCATGTTTTGTTATGAGCACGCTATTAAATTGTGAAATAGTACGAAATACATTTGGTAGATGTAAAACTAACATTCATGTTTTTGATTGTCTCATTATAAGAATAATATAGTCGTGTAATTTATTGCATGTGAGAAATAAAAGTATAATGTATAGGTAATTATTGTCAGTTCGGTATATTATTTGGTGAGAGAGCCACATATTACTTTCTACCATGAACAATCCAATAAACTTGTGACATGGTTGAAAATCCGTTGCTTGATGGCAGACTCGTTTTCCTGTAGAAAAAGTCATTAAATGAAAAATATTAGTTTATATATTGTATCAGTGTTATAGCTAATCAATATTTAATAATTACTATAAATCTTGAGCATGTCGTACCTGAAGATCATGAGTTGTTGAAGAAATAGTTTGGAAGACTTCCTTGAAAACAATATTTTTAATGAAGGTTCGATCTTCAATCTCATTGTCGGCATTTAGTATGACCAACCCTTCACGTGATGTAACTCGTGATACAACAACATACAGTTGGCCATGGGTAAACACTTGGTTTGGGAGATACAAGCCAACATGGCGTRGTGATTGTCCTTGACTTTTATTTATTGTTATGGCAAAGCATGTTGCCAAAGGAAGCTGACGCTTATTGAGCTTGAATGACCATCTTGTTTCATTTGGGGAAAATTACTAATAATCCTCGAAATATCTCATTTCACCGTATCCCACACGGGTTTAGTCAACGTGTTCGACGGTGACCCAAAACCAGTCATGCCGGACTGTTAGCATTAGCATTACGGTTGAGGTTAGAAGGCGGTGGAGGTGCGGCAGGGATAGATGCTGGTTTCTGAGGAAGGTTGGATGGGATGAAGGGGGAAGAAGATACGGGAATGGGAGAAGAAGGGTAAAGAACAAAAATGTAATTTATTAATGGAGAAGAAGAAACCATGAAGAAGAAGAAGGGAAAACGTAAAGGTGAAAGATTGAAGGTTTTGCTTTGAAAAAAAATGAAAAAATGAGAAAAAAAGAAGGTAGGAAAGCTCTTTTGAGGTGATGACACGTCAGCGGTCCATGTTTCTGCTTTATATATACTAGTATGGAATCGCGCGTTGCGCGGTAGTATGAGTACTTTGATTAATGATCTGAGGATTGTCTATATAAATATATATTAATTGTTAATAGAATCATCAACAAATCGTATTCAAATAATTCGAAAAAGTTAAATAAAATATAGTTAGTGAATTTTTAATATATATATATATATATATGTGTGTGTGTGTGTGTGTGTGTGTATTGAGAGAGAGATTTGTTTAGTAATAAAGTTGTAAAACTAAATAAAATGAGTAATAATAACAACGGGAATATTAAGAAATCTGACACAAACTCAAGAATAAAAAATACTCCACATAAAGATATGTTTCTTTCAAAGGATGATGTACATGTACCATTTTTCGTCCTCAACACACACCTTGATTTTAAAAACACAATAGTGAATGAACCAACCGTACGATATGTAAAAAGTTACATACCAAACTTACAGACTTCAAATCTTTATAGCCCAATAGATAAAATTATAATGCAATCAAAATCACTACATGAACATACATAAAATTATAATATGACTAAACTTACGATAAGAACATACTTAAAAATATAATCCAATCAAAATCTTGATACAAACATACATAACATTTTAATACACTCTAAATTACAAAACAAACTTGCATAAAATCCTTACCTTAGATCATAATCATAAATTTTTCCCACAACCCAAACTTGAAAAATTCAAAATTTCAAAACTTGATATATAAATGTTAAAGAACTCGAAAACCTGCAAACCAAAAAACGTTCAACATAAGTAAAAACTACATAGTGAACTTGAATATTTTAAATCTTCACCTAATACATAAGAGTTATATTGCAAACAAAAATCACGATACAAACATAAATAAAATTATAATGCAATCAAAATCATGAAACAAATCAATATAAAATTATTACCTTATATTGCAACCAAAAAATCAAATATTGAACTTGAAGACTTCTTCAAATCTTCATGACATAATGCATAAAAACTATAATGCAATCTAAATAACGATAAAAACATACATAAAATTATGGGAGAAGTGAAAAAAATAAAAAAACCTATGAATATTATTAATAGTAAAATAAAAGAAAAGCCAAAGAGAAAGAAAATAAATTTAGAGACGTATAGGATTGAGATAAAATTTGAGAGGATGTGAGAGATGAAGATGAATAAATAGTTGTTTTTATATATAAAAATAAATGATTGATTGGAAAAAATGAATGGTTTGGACTTATGTCATTAGATTAATATAGAAGAAGATGGATGGTTTGGAGTTGAATGCAAACATTTAAGAAAAAAACATAAATTGACAAATAAAATATAGTAGTGGATATTGAGAGAATGAAGGAGAAAAAAGAAAAATGAGGAGGCTTTAGAAGAGGCCACTTCATACATTAGTTAAAAAAAGACCTCTAAAATCTCAACAAAATTAAAAAGAATTGTATACTCGGATTAATCGTCTCGAAATAAATCTGGAAAAAAAATGTAACCATTAAAAAAAGACATATTGAAGTTTGGTGATGCTACATAAAAAATTATAACAAAAAAAACTTTAAAATCTTAAAAAAAAAAGTAAAAAGAAATGCATACACACATTAGTTTTCTCAAAGTATACTTGAAAAAAAATAATCATTACAAAAACATGTTGAAGTTTGTTGAGGCTACATTATGGTTGGTGGTACTTTCAAGATTCCATCATCAGATCATTAATCGAACCATTGTTGCTATGAAAACTCTAAAAATGTTGTCAAGAACAAACACTCTGTTTCATTGAGAAAACTTAGGACAATTATAGAAGAGAAAAGTAAAAAAAAAAATTCTAAAATCCCAACAAAAATAAAAAGGAACGCATACCTGAATTAGTCTTCTCGAAATAAACTTGAAAATATATTTGTTGAAAACTAACAATTTATGAAATAAAAAACAAATCAAAGGATGAAGATGGAGAAAAATAGATTGAATGATGAACAATTCATGAAAAAGAGTTAGAGAAAATGAAAAGATTATGTTAAATGCAAACATAAATGAATAATCAATGTTTATAAAAATTTAAAAAAAAAAATTAAAGAAGGATGAATGGAAAAAAAGATAAATAAGTTTCTAACATTTAGGAGAAGCCAAGTCATCAACTTTGGTTTCTCCTTTAATATATATATAGATATAGACATACCTTTTAAAATCTTTGAAATTTTTCTTCAAACTCTCACCTTCTTCATCCCTCACTAAAAAAATGTGTAGGATTTCATTTTGTATATTATTGAAACTCCGAAAAACAAATTTCATTAAGAAATAAATTAACAAAGTAAATTAAAGAGCAAATCAATAGTCGGAGGTTATCTTGTGATTACAAAATATCAAAATTTTATTCGAATTTATATGATCCAATAATAAACACAAGCATAATCTATGATAACAACAAATCCAACAATATTGAAAAAGAAATATGTAATAACAAATCACATTTTTTAATGAATATAATTTCTACATACCTTTCAAAATCTTTGAATTCTTCTTCAACTCTCATTATCTTCATCCCTTACTAAAAGAATTTGTAGGATTTCATTTTGTTTATTATTGAAACTTTGAGAAACAAATTTCATTAAGAAATAAAAGAAAGTAAATGAAAGAGCAAATCAAGAGTTGGAGGTTAAACTTGGGTATACAAAATTACAAAAAACCCCAATTAATTATGAACTATACATTTTGATACAGGGATAAAAAAGTCTTTAATATATTCAACATTTAAAAAAATAAAAAAATTGAGAAAAAAGATAGGAGAAGTTCTGAGCATTAGAAGGTGCCACCTCATTATGCTTGGTTTCTTCTTTAATATATATATATATAGATGGTTTGTCATTTATTGATATTTTTGCTCTTATGATTTATAATTTTATTATTGTTTCGGTTCTTATAGTTTTCAATTATTTACTGTTTTGGTTCCTTGTACTTAAAGTAGGAATTTAGTTCAAGGACAAAAATAACAATAAATTTCTAACCATAAAGGCTAAAAACACATAGACGAAGATGGAAATTATTAATGCCATGGTTTCAAACAAGGTTTTAAACGGTGTGAAACATGAGGTGAGGTCAAGCCTCAAGTTGAGCCATGGAGAGGCCGTGACGTTTTTTAAGGCACATCTTCAAACAAGGTTTTATAATGACACATCTTTATATCATATAAATTCTTATATATATATATATATATATATATTTTATACTATTATTCAATATGTTATTGATATATAAATAATTTAAATTAAGTTATATATAAAAAAAACTAACAAATAACACATTAACAAAATAAGAAAAAATAAAATGTTATATGGAGAAACCCCTAATTCATGATATACCACAAGCATGACTGTTTGTTATAAAAACCGTGAGTTATGACTGTTACTGCAAGCTTTTTGGAACATGGGCTAGAACTAATTAAAAAAGATCTTCATCCAAAACGACACCGTTTGCAATTTAGATGGAGAAACCCCTACTTCAATCCTTTGAGAAAACATTCGGTGTGACCTCTCTGATGCTACCAAAATTCAACCGAAATCCTGAGATTTGATGGTATGATTGATCTCAGTTCTTACCAAAATTTGATTAGCAAATGGCTAGGGTAAGGAATTGGTATAATCAATCAAAAACAGCCACTTTGATTTGGTTCATATCCTTGATCACCTTCTATGCTGTGTTCCGGATGGCTTCTACATTTTCTCCTCCTTCAACAGGTAATCAATCGATTCGATTTCTCCTTTTAATTATCTTAACTTCATTTTGTGAACTGAACTTGATGCGTTTAGCTAAAGTTTGCAGAACTTGAATTAGATAGCTTAGTGATTGTAGATTTTCGATAATATTTGTCTGCCTAATGCGATCTAGTAGCAATTATACATTACATTAATTAGCTCTAGTTTTTCGAAAACGTAATTCTATATAATGTAATTATGACGGATGTTGCTGCAAGAAGCTACAAGGCTTGTTACTTATTAGTTAGTATAAAATCGAATTACGCATACAGTAGCTGATGTATGTCCGTGTGTATATGACTAAATCTAATTAATAGCCTTCAGAAACGGATATAATTTTTTTATATATGAAGAGCCAGTGATCAGAACAAAGTGATAAGATAATTGTGCCAATTAGAAGATTTAAGTTATTGAACTTGCTTTCTTTGTGGGAAATTATGAAGATGGAATTCGGATGGTATGGAAATCAAGTCTACACTTTTGATGAAGAAATGACATTGCATGCTCGATAACCTTTGTTATGATATTTCAAAAAGTATTGAAGTGGGTTCTTCTTTCTGAATTTTAATGAGCTCCAATTGCACCAAAATGTAAGCAAGGTGGGAAGGTCCTTCAAGTCAATGTTCCTAATTTTTTATTGCATACGTAGAAGAAGGTCAACTTTAGCTCTTCTATACACAGTAACTAGAGGGTCAAATAAATTTGTAGCAGATCTTCCAGTTTCGAATGCAGAGAGGTTGAGATTGTATGACAAAATGACCAGGGATTTGGACGAGCATGGTGCACTTTTTCTCAAGAAGGGAGAGACTTCACAGTCAATGAAACTTTCTGACCTCTTTGATGTTCACAATGGATCCGTGACTCCAGTTTTGAAGGTAATTATGCGAGTATGATAAGTTAGTGATATCACATATGTTCATTTATTAATGGTATCATTGCTTGCTAATATTCTTACCTCTGCAGGCTGCCAATCCTCCTGTTAGAGCTAATGTATTATATATGAATACCGAGTACTCACATCCTATCTCGTAAGGAAATTGCAACTTTCATAACCTTTTATGTGTTTCTGTGTGATGCACATTGGTGTGTACAAATCAAATACTCAACTTGATAGAAAGAAGTGATGAAAGGTTAATATTTTATGACATGACCAAGCTCAAAGAGCAAGTTTTTTGGACCTTAAGATTGTGAGTGCATGAACAGGCATGCAAAATAATATAGAAGCATGCATCCTGTTACAAACAAAATGCAGAAGAGGATTTCGACATTGAGAATCTTAATTAACTTTGGAGGAATAGCATGTCTAAGAATTAACTCATACATCTGAATGAAATGATCTATTACATTCTGGTTCCAAGGTAATTGGGCCACTAGATGCACCACCCGTGTTGGTCTTCTTTCTCTAAAAGGTGACCTAAGTAGCAAAGAAATTTCCATTTTCATCTCACACAAATGATAAATGGAATCAAACTTCATTGATGATGTTTTCAGTTATATAATTTACCATCTAAGTAAAAGTTTAACATTAGGGTATTTTATCCCCTGGTTTTAACAATGTCTGCTGGATCTGGCATGGACAAGTACGTTCTTGATTGTTCTCTAGTATCTATTCCCATAACTAAAATAGCATTGCACATATAGAAGATACTACCAACTTGCTTGCCATAGGCCATAGCCTAGTCTTCATAGCCGTGCATGGCATGTTTAGTATTTCATAGACATTCCCAGCTATGAAGTTTGAATATAGGAGTGGGGTCACCACAATATAGAGAAGGTTGGTCAGTGCCTCTTTAAATTTTACAAAATGAAGCTTTAAAGTGAGCCGCCTCCTCCCTAAGAGTATGATGTCTGGCTTAAATTGTATACCATTAAGATACAAAAATACGATGTTGGTTAACACATGTTGTTTCTATTGGACTAATGTTGTAAGTTTCAGGGAATTGAATGGAGAGTTATTATTTAGATGACTAGGACAAGCAATTTCCCTGCTTCTCCCTACTGTAGTAATTATCCTATAATCTAATATTGGGTGTTTTTGGAGCTATGGTCATTTCATGAAGTGGAACTAATCTCTTCAATCGACTTAAGATTCATGAGTACTTTCCTGAGATAACTTGCTGCCATGGACAGGCACTGAAGTCCAAACATAACTAATTTTCGGCATCACGAACATCACAATAGATCAATTTGCCATACATGTTAAGAAAAATCTATATGGTCATACCTGTAATAATGTTTGAGTCATGTGCTTACATAGAACATTGTAATTGTGATATATATAAGACTTTGACTTGAATGCTTATGTAGAACATTGTAATTGTGATATATTTAAGACTTTGACTTGAGATATCAGAGTGTGTACAGATGATGGTTATGTCATGTAGACTTGATCGTTACGTCTGTTCTAATTTTAATTGGGTCTTACTTTTTAGCCTACTGAAAATAGATTGGGATAAAATGCCTGTTGTGTGGTGCTTATAATGAACGTCATATGCAATCTCAATAGAAACATGGCTATAGTTTCCATTTATGGATTATTCTTTCTCAAAGTGTGAATTGACCATGCTTCCATCCATTTATACATGTTGCTTCTTACTGCAGGAAAGCAGTAAGGGACATATTTTCTCCATCCCTCGAGAAAGGTAAGGACAGTAGTTTTTGTCTACCAGTCAAACATAGAATTATAGTTTAAAGTCTTATGAACAGGGTCGGACCCACCGCTTCATGGTCTTGTTGTAGTGGTAGAAATTTACGTTTCTTAAGGATGTCACCATAATGTTTTGTTGTGTGCCCCTATATTTCTTAAAATTAAACTTATGAATGAAGTTTCTTGTGGCTGAGTTGGTTTACGTTGCCTGATTGAAGCTTCATGTTTGAAAGGGCACGGGTTTGAATCTCGTGTTTAGCAAATTTCTTATCTTTCAGCTTTTACTTTTTGGTTTTTTCTATATATTTTTTTGAAAAAGGAGGGCTGTGAGAAGGATCGAACACGGGATATTTCCTTGCTAAATGCAAGGAATAAACCAATAACTCTATGATGGTTTTCTGGAAATTATTTATAGCTCTCAATCCTTACAGTCAAATGGTGCCACCCCTTGAAAAATTCCTGGGTCCGCCTCTGCTTATGAGACAAAAGTTTGGGGTCTGCTGCAATCTATGAACAAGTTCCGTTGTTGTCTAATTTGTTTCTCTTGCAATGCTTAATCATTTTTGGGTCAGTAATTTGGTTTCAGAATTCCGAGCTCTACCATTTTAGTATGTTCCATGCTTCACACCACATTTTACCTGTTCCTGCCTCAGAAGAGGAAGTAAGTATCTTTCTGTAGTGCCTTCATTCTTGAAGTCAACAATTGATCCAGTAGTAGTAAACCTGAAATTGTCAGATTGAGGCTGAAGCAAATGCTGTTAAAGCAGTTGTAGACAAGCTCTGTCCAATGACAATTGTATTGGATAGGGTTGTTTTGACTTCAACTGGTGTGCTTTTGGGTTGCTGGCAGGTACTTCTTCCTCCCCTCTTTCCTTTTTCCTTTTTTCTTTTTTCCTTCTCTTCTTTTTGTGCACTTCTTGTGGCCACTTACTCTGAGATGGCTGTAACGTCCCAACTCCCAAAGCACAACAAGACTATCCCAGTAACTTTTAAATCAACTTAAAAGCATGGTGAAAGTTATTGGTAACCCACAACTTAAGGCTTATAAGGAGCTCAAAATTCTCATTACTTAAAATTCACCCAACTCTGTCCTTGCTCATCAACGATGTGGGATTTGCCTAATATGTTATGAACACCCCATCCTCAGGGATTCATCGTTCTCAATAAGGTTTGCCCCACCATCCTGATAGTATAGGGACTGGTGCTGATATCATTTGTGACTCCCCAAAGTCCAAAGCAATAGACTAGTTCAATAACTTCTAAATCAACTTCAAATCATAGTGGAAGTTATTGGTAGCCCACAACTTAAGACTCATAAAGAGCTCACAAATTTCACTTTTTACCACCCACAAGTTTGTCACGATGGCGGTGTCTAATGACCAAGGGTCTTATCTCAAACTTCAATCATTCCGCCGACTGTATTAGGTGCTATTATAAAGGGTTGACCAAGTTTCTGTGTAGCCAACCAAGTCAGCTCTATTTAACTTGGCATAAAAGGGGTTTCCGAATAAAAATTCTAAATGGTCTTCGGAATGATGAATATTTATCTGAAGGCCTGATAGGATAATTTAGGAAGTTTGATGCAAGAATCCTTCAACTTGGGAGTGGTTTTGTTCTATGTAGCTTCAGTAATTTATTTTTCTTGCACCATCTTCAATGTACCAGCTTTCACTATATCGTGTTTCCCTGTTATCTTTCGTTTGTTTATTTACGTGAAGCTATTAATTAACAATTGGGGTTCCCTTTATCCATGGAACTACTATTCCCTCACATCCGATGACATTAGCAAAGGTGTATACTATACACGAAGGAGGTCATAGCAGAAGTGTATATGTGTAAAATAGCTTTTTTAGTCTTCATAATTTTCTAAATTCAACATGGGTACGGAAATTATTATAACCGTAATACTATTGCTTTGTTGCTTGGATGTTTCTTTCATGCTTCTTTTTCTTACTTAGGTAATCTCGGGGACAGATCCTGTTACTATCCGTTCTAAATTAAGGAATGCTCTTCCACGTGCTCCAGGAAAGCAACTTGTAAGAACCTTGCTAGATTACCAACCCTTACCTTAAACTTTCCTATGGAAATTCTGCTACATATTCAGACCCTTATCTATTGTTATTTTATGATACTTCTCATACCATGTGGTTTTAACAATCAATTATCCCGACCCTACAATCTAATACCTGTGTTATAACCGACTGCCTGTTCAAGTTCCTTGCTCTTACTGACTTTTGTTGATTTCTATGCTGTAGTATGAGCCTGCCATACTTCATACCTCACTTGCAAGGATTCTTGGTCACCCTAATAATTCATCTGAGGTTAGTATTTTGTTTCTGGTTTTCTATGTTGAGGTTTTCGCACATGTAAAACTTGTGATATACCAAACAATGCGAACTTATTGTGGCGACTTTAGGCTGCGTTTGGTACGCAGACGGGACTGGACAGGTGAGAGAGAGGTAGGCAGGTGAAAGAATTGAGCAAGGTTTTAGAGTTTTAATTTGACATGGTATTTTAGTAATCTACCAATCTTGTCCCGCCCATCTCCCTGATTTTTGTTCCACCTACTTTGGTGCCACTCTGTCCTGTCCTATCAGGGTCTAAATATCACACCGTTTTACAAGTTTTTGTTTTGTTATCTCCCCTTGTACCAAATGCAGCCTTAGATTTCTTTTATAGCATTCAAATTTATGCTGCTGTCTCATTGAGAACATGTCTTTTGTTGGTTCAGCCCTATATATCATAGCAGGTTTTTCTACCTTCCTACAGAACTTACTTTAGATCCAACTCTCTTTTTTTAATATTGAAGAAAAAGGGATGCAAATTTAAGGTGATAAACGTTAGAAATCATTTTTTATTTAAATTAATTGAATCAAAAAAAGTCTACTTTGATTTAGGTTGGTTATGCCCCTGTATGCACCAATACCATGTACAATTAGTGATAGAAGTAGATGCTGTTGGTTGCCATTGAATATTTTCTGTCAACTGTCCAGAAAATAGTCACTTCCTATGCTCGTTTTTCATAGACGTAACAGTAGGGATTATCAGCCACTTACAAATATGAAAAGTCAAATTGTATGGTTTCCACAGATATGAAACTCTATAAGGTTTGATTGGTCATTAGTGGGCATGCTCAAATTTGATCATCACTAGAGAAATCAAGGATCATCGTAGGGACAACTAGGGATGTTAACTAGATGAGCTTTTAATGAGCTACTTGAGCTCAAGCTCGTTTATCTTGAGCTTGAGTCGATCTCGAACACACGCTAAAACTTGTTCAACTTAATGAGTCGAGCTTCATAATACCAATGTTTTACTCGGTTCGTATGAAAGCTGGATTAAATTTTTCGAGTCGAGCCTAGCCACGCCATTCAAGCATTTACTTTTTCGAGCCAAACATGTTCTTATGTTCAGAAATCATATTATCAAAGTATAAAATTATTGGGGTCGAGCCAATAAGTGAGCTAATTGATTTTGTGTTCGAGCCTGTAAACGAGTATCTAGCTCTACCGTGAAAAAGTTATTCGAGCTTGAGCGTGGTAATATTTTTTTAGCCGAGCTCGAATAACCTGCAACTCGACTCGATTCATTAACATCCCTAGGAACAACAGCGTACTTCTCGAACGTAGGTCAACTATCATTGTTTTTTTTGGGTATTTTTATAGTTTTGCTGGATTAATATTCGGCTGGGTTCCATCAAAAGTTTTATTGGATGTTTTTCTGTTAGGAATTATTGTGATATGTTCATTTTAGGAAATCTCTTACTTCCTCGGCCCGTTCCAAAGCAAGTGTCCACATTTCTTCTATTTGAGTCGGTCCCAAAAAAGTGTCCAATTTTGAAAAGAAACTTTTCACTTACCAATTCTACCCTTAATTATTTGATGGAGAAATTCACTACCCTCTCTATTATTAAGGGTAAAACTGTCTTATCTAAAACCGTGTACATTTTGTGATAGAGGAAGTACTACTTTACACGAGAAACATGAGAGTTAATGCACATTAACTCTCTTCACCATGAGTTCGTTGGTCGTCATAGATTGGCCCGTTCATTCATATGATTAGTTTGATCGGAGATGCGAGTCTGACATTTTGACTTGTAGGAACCGAGCATCGCTTCAGAACTCCAATACTTTCATGAACTAGTAGCTCATTTGAACAATCGCATCCGTGGAACAAAGGTATTTTCTTTTCCCACTACGTTTCATAGCTTTTCTCATCAAACATAAATTCTTACAATTATATTTAGTGAATTACCTAAAAAGCTTGTTGTTGACTAATAAGTTAGCAGATAAACTAGTCATGATAATACAAAATGATCAAAAAGTTAGCTTATTGAAAAACCATCTAAAGGTAGTTTTTCAAAAAGTGAACTTTTATGCCTTAGCAAACGAGGCCTTTTTAATAAGTTCAAAAGCCAAACGTTCAAAGTTTTCATATTTTGCATCTATTTTAACCATTTGACATGTAGATCTTGTAACCATTGATGTCAAGTTGTCGAATTATATTATAAAAACAAAAATGTCACATAAATATCAATTAATTCTATAAGGTAAAATGGTTACGGAATAAGAAGAATTAAAGGTTGGTTATAATTGAGAAACAAAACTCATCATTACGCCAAATAGATAATAAGTAAAAATTTGTTGCATTTTTATGCATGTTGTCGTCTTATTCATTTTTTATAGTTATTACCTTGTGTGTGATTTGCAATCTTAACACTTTCACCTATGGTCGGTTTTAGGCAACGATCTCCGAGTTGTGGTACGTAGAAGAGTACGACGTCTTAGCTTTGGCGTTAGATGGAAAAACAAAAATACGACGTTTCCAATTCGGCTGTTTGAAAGTCTAAGAGTCGAATAAAAGTAGTTGCCATACTTCTATCTTCGAAAGAGCTTCCTTTTTTATGGTTGTTCTCAACGATCTTTCGAGTCTAGTTGCATCTAATCTCATAGATGTGTTTACTTGATGGCGTATGTGAATATATTCCGGTGGCAATAACCTCTTTGTGTTGATATTGTTTCCGAACTTACAACCACCATGACCATACCATTGCACGACCAAGAAAACTAAAACGACAAAAAAAACACAGACTCTTCACCATCCCATGACAACCGAAATCAAGAAAAGTATCACGGGATGCAACTTGTAGTAGTACATGATTTCCAAAAGATTAGGGTCGTTTACCCAACGCTTACCTGATGAACATTTACCGTTAATGTCTTAACACTTTCAATTAACCTATTGGATCTTGTCATTGCTCTTTCATTCGACAAGGTAAAGTGACTCGTAAGCATGTACCGCATAAGCGTTTAGTAAATGGTCCCTAATGGATGAAATGAGGAATGTTTCGGTTTCCTATTTTTGTAATGGTACTCGCCTATTGGGTAGGTATTAAAGGGTTTTCAGACTATTTGATTAAAATTTATAGTTTATCATCGTTGATGTCGATCAAAGCGTACCTAAAACGATGGTTGATCTAAAATTAGGTTCACGAATGAGATGTCGATGCATTCACATCTGATAAACTATACAAGAATCCAAAAACAATCATTAGTAAGAGAAATTTTTGGTTCTAAAGGAACATTCTAGCATAACCCAATTAACTTAGCATCAATAAAAACCACTAGGGGAGACAATGATTTGAACAATAAAAACCGGAGAGGAGCAAACACAATAGAAGGTTAAAATTCATACAGGAGGAGCGAGGTTCGCTGAAACAAGAAGGAGGCTGATTAGCGGCGATGTTCGTTGAGAGGGCGGTGACGACAAGCTTCTTTTTAGAGGGGGCGATGATGGTTGGGATGAAGAAGGCGAGTTTCTTTTGAGAGTGTTCGAAGGGCATGGATGGAATATTGGTGGCTTAATGGATTAAGCACCCTTCAACTGGTTTAGCGAATTAGCCATTATCTGTATCTGGGCAATCAAGCCACATATGGACAATTTTATATAGGAGTGTAATTACCACCTATAAAAGGGGCGTAAAATAGCATTACCATAATTTTCTTCTCATACATGTCAACATCTCAACCTTTTTTCAACTTCTAATGCATGATTTGACTTGATTTTAACATTAAAAGAGTGGTGTATGCTATTAATTTCTTACTCAGACTACATCAATATTCTCAATGCAGCATTTAAGCTGAATCTAATATGAAAATATGGATATAGTATTCGCCTAAAAGGCTGCATATTGTAATACCCGCTTCAACGAAATTCTAAGATGCGCTCAAACAAAATTCATTACCAACTTGGTTGAACATATTTGATGGAGATCATGAATGATCTATATTACTATTTATTATCTAGTGTTACATTTTTAGAGTAAATTACATTTTTCATCCTTGTAGTTTATTAAAAATTGCTGATTTCGTGCCCATGGTTTCAAAATTTCATGTTTTCATCCTTTGGTTTTTTAATTCATTTTTATGTTTTCATCGTTAAGTCCAAAACACTACTTTTAGGGTGCGTTTGGTAGGCAGAACAGGGTGGGACAGGACAGAACAGAACACACTTGTACCATGTTTGTTATGGCTTTATGTGAGACTAACTAGAACCAACTAGAACAAGGGTGGGACACGGGAGTCCACCCTTTACCCCTGGAACTAATTAGAACAAGGAATTTTTTACCCCTTTACCCTCAATCCCTTCCACCGTCTTCTTCATCCCCTTCACAGCGTCTCAATCGGCGACCCTCCATCGCACACCCTCAATCGGCGACCCTCCATCGCACAGCCTCAATCGGCGACCCTCCATCGCACAGCCTCAATCGGCAACCCTCCATCGYACACCCTCCATCTCGACGGCGACGACACCCTCCATCGCACACCCTCCATCTCGACGGCGACGGGAGTTCTAGTCCATACACACAGTCCGCCTCCATCACATTACCTTCTCCTTCATCAGGTACATGATTGCCTTAACCTTCTCCTTCTCCATCGCTATGTTTGAATCGATTTAGGGTTTGCTAGGTTTGAATCGATTTAGGGTTTATGCTAAGAGGATTACAGCAACTACATTTTTACCAGCTTGTTTATGCTAAGAGGATTACAGCAATCGATTTAGGGTTTACATTGATTATGATTGCTGAATGTTGTTGTTGATGAATTGGTTTACATTGATTATAATTGCTGAATTGATTATGAGAGTTTACTTGATTTCGTAGTGAAAAAACACTAAACAGCTCACGGGGTAAATTGGTCATTTTAACCAGTTCTGTCATGTCCTGTCCTGTCTTACCAAACGCTGAACAGCTGTCCTGTCCTGTCCTGTCCCGTCCTGTCCTGTCCAGTCCTGTCTGCGCACCAAACGCACCCTTAAGTATGAAGATTAATATAGAAATGTAGAACCATAAAAATGAAAAAACATAAGAACGAAAAAGATAATAAAAATTGTGATTTCAAAACAATAAGGACGAAATAGAAATTCCAAAATTTTATAAATTTAAAAATTAAAAGTAAGGTTTTATGAAAACTTCCGACTGTAAATTTTTGTGGATGCCGTAAGCATAAATAAATGAAAATGGAGGGAGGGCAAGAAATACTGACGTGGCAGTGTGAGACCTCGATGGTCAAATATTTGTTATGGAATCATCTTCCACGCTGTTGCCGGCCACGCTCCTCCCTACGTCCTATAAAAACTCTTCTGTTGTCCGCCACACGCCCCCTCTCTCCTCACGACGGCGCGTCTCCGAGGTACGTATGCTCCCTAGTTTTTCCATAGCGATTCATCATATGCTTTTTGTGTTTTGTGAGTTCAATTTGTTCTTCTTCTTCTTCTTGTTCTTCTTCATCTGCTATTCTCTCTGTGAGGATTTAGTTTTGTTTTGATAAGATTGTTTTACTCACTGATTCTGCCTTTGGACTATTTAAATTGAATTGAATTGAATTGAATTTGGATATGCAAGTTAGGTTTTCAGTTTTTATAAGTTGATATCTAGGGTTTAGGCTTTCTATAGATGAAACTTGATTTGGAGTTAATCGATTTTATCTGCGATGATCAACTAGATTAGCTGCTCGTTGCAATTATTCATTTGGGGAAAGGAAAACGACTTTGATTTTATGTATTCTTTGTTTTATGAATGACCGAGATTGGAAACTGGAAACGAAGCTTGAACGTTTTCTTTTATTTTAATGGAAATTTCGAATGATCTTTTCTTCTAATTGATTCAGTTATTCGTTTTCTTACGGTGATCATCTGCTGTCAATGTCAAAATTGATGAATCTAGAATACTCTGTTTGATTTTGTTACCTGGTTTTACTTTACCAATCATAAGTCACTGCACTGGATCTGGATGCAGCTGTTCTAATTAAGATACCAGCAACTGAATTATGCATTGCCATTGCCTGGTCTGTTTCTAGAGTCATGCATTTTTTTCATGTTATAAGATGTGTGCTTCATTGTTGCTATTTTTTATTTGAGAGATCCTGAATTTGGTCTTTTGCATCTTGTTCTATGATGCAGGAATTCTGCTCTGACCAGATAACAAATAAGAATCTGAACATAGGTTTTGGAGATACACATTGTGGACAACTAACACTATCAGCATGGGTGCAGAAAAATCGCCAACTTGGTCTGTAATTTTCGGTTTCACTTTTGATTTCCTGATCCCTTTACCTGAAAATGTAAAAATATTTGTAAGGATAAATTTTCTCATGTCTTGTATAGTTGTCATTTGATGCATCAGAACTTACAAGCCTGTAACATTATAACCAATTGTAATAACCCCACATTAGAAAGATCATTGGAATAGACGGCATCGGAACAGGGTTTCATCCCCAGTATGGTGGTTTGCCAATATTCAAACTTGGATCTGCCTCGCGACTTGTTAGCTTGTTCCTCTTCCACTATACCATTAATCTTTTTTCTTCTTTTTTGCCACATGTGGAACTTCTACTGGCCCATTGTTGCTTTGTTTTAGAATTAGTTGAGGGGCTGAGGGTCTGTCGGCCACAAAATGGTACATTTTACAGGTTTGTACTTTGTAGAAATGAACCTGGAAATTACTAGAAAGAAAGAACATTTTTGGTTAATTGGTTGTGCCTTCTTATGCATGTCTTTCAAATGATCAAATCTCATAACTTGTTTGTAGATATAATTTCTGCTGAGATCATATGGCCCCATATCAGTTATTCACTATAGCAAAATTTCATATAATTGCAAGTTATTGCGTTTCAAGACATTCAAGAATCCGACTGTGAGCAATTTCACCAATAGGCTGCTTTTGGGAACCTGAGCTTTCACACTTGTCCAGCATCCTATTATGGTTTTAACCACAAATTTTCTTACATATGTTTCTTGTGAACGTTTTCACGTTTTCATCTTTAAATTAAGTCTTGAATCAACACTTTAGGGTCCTATAGCCTGTATTCCTTTTCTGAGTGCATATCTATGCTACATATACATTTTTAAACGATACACTTGATTTCTTCTTTATTAATACTAAATGCTCTTGATGCAGCTTGCACCCTAGCAAGAAGAATCCTGGTAAAGTTCCTAAAAGAATTCACAAGGCTGAAAGGGAGAAAATGAAGCGTGAGCATTTGAATGAACTCTTTCTTGAATTGGCTGGTGCACTTGGTAATTTCTTATTAATATTAATGTATCTTTTGCTTTCTATGTTTGTTTTATTCTGATAATACATTCATATATGTAGAACATGGAAATAGCTTTTATCCACACGAGTGCTGTTTGTTTTGATGCAAGTAAAATGCAATGATACCTCCGTGCTGCAAGAATTGCAATAAGTGACTCTACACAAGCATTAAATTAAAATTATCAAATAAAACTTGTGGGCTAAAACAAATAACTACTTTGTAACAAATAACTTCCATGGGGACAATATGTAGTTTGACTTGAAAACATCTCTAAATAATGTAAATGTTGCAACTCTTGTGGGACATGAAGAATCTTAACCTTTGAACTAACATAGTAGAATATAGTCATATACATAAATTTCCCTATACAATTACAAGGAATAAGACTTGGGACATAAAGAATCTTAACCTTCGAACTACCATAGTAGAATATAGTCCTATACATAAATTTCCCTATACAATTACAAGGAATAAGATGGCTTAGATGTAATGGGTGATTTCAATAAAGGAATGGTTTATCTTATGTACCAATTATTACCTTGCAGAACTCACAGAGCAAAACAGTGGCAAGGCCTCTATATTGGGTGAAACTACTCGGGTTGTCAAGGATATGCTTGATCAAATCAAGTCCCTCAAAAAGGAGAATGCAGCTTTATTGTCCGAATCACAATATGTAAGGCCTTTAACAAATCAACAATAACTTATAGTCTTCTCTAAACTGATACAACCATAGTCACTCTCAGTGTAACAAAATTCTACACACCCAGATTACTAAATATTGACACTATCTATAATAAGTCTAGCTGTGACCGAGTGCTCATGTTTTTAGGAGGTGTCTCAAACTCTTAATCCCTTATAAATTAGTCTAAGGTTTCCATAACATTTTGTCTTAAGTAGTTCATAGAGGAAAAAAAGAAAATGGTACATTGACATTCGACTTCCTCAAAGGTCTGTGTCCCTTGAATATAGCAAGCCCGTAGTTAAGTTACTAGAACCCTGAGGGGGTGTTTGGTTGGTTTTTCATTAGTTATGTATGAATAAAGTTGATTGTATGTATTAATTTGTTTGTATAGATTGAGAATGTTTTTCTTTGAGATGGTTTTTCACAGATGGAAGAAGCGTGTTTTTTTTAATTGAGATGAGCAAATTTGGAGATAACTTGGCTTTCTGCATAGAGCTCTCCTTTAGAAGCTTACTGAATAAACTACTTTCTACATCATTAAGTCGCTACCAAACAGTCATGTATAGCTAGCCAAATAAGTTGTGGGTGTCATTAAGCTTATTAAGTTGCTAACAAACAGGCCATGAGTTTAGACTAGAGGTGTGTAGTTTCCATACCTTGGTTATTTTTTTCTTGTACATGTTTGTATTTATATTGCTGTTGAGTAATCATATAAAGTTTCTCAAAACTTTAGCAAATCTTTCTTCCTCTCTTTTTATTTTTATTGCTATAGATTACTCATATGTAGCTTTTCGAATTTTAGCATATCCGTATTTCTCGCTTTCACACACTTTTCACTAGCTGGTTGTGTTCACAAAAACAACTGTTTTACTTTTTAGGGTAAATGTCAGGTCTGCGTCGTCATATCCCCCAAACACCACCTCGAGGTGGGATATATTGGGCTCGTTTGGTTTGGTTTGGTTTGGTTTTTTACGTCCCGAGGAATCTCAAGCTTGATTTTATTTTTTCATCATCAATTTGTATAAAGCATATGGGTATTGAGTGCTGTAGTGATCACACTCTTTTTGTGGACAGGTGACAGTGGAAAGGAACGAGCTTCAAGACGAGACTTGTGCTCTACAGAAGCAGATCAGTGAACTAAAGAGCGTGATAAAAGAAAGAACCGTCCAAAAAAACCTCGATCTGAATGCACCCGCAATGGAATCTCAGGAACCACAATTGCCGCAATATCTTCCCCACGATATCATAAGGTTACCTCCTGGGAATCCACTTCTAAATTCCGTTGTTGTTATTCCGGCTTGTCACAATGTCCAAATTCACACACGACCAGATTCCGGTCTGATTATTGGGAACAAACCCGTGTCAAACGTTAGCAAACCATACCCTCGGTATCCCACTCCATCGGATTCTTGGCCATTCCAACTTCTTGAGAAAGCGGGCGAGGACCCACATAGAGAAGGAGCGTAACATTTAAACCAATCAAACGTAGTATATCCCACTCGGGTATCCAAAGAGAAAAAGCGGATTGTAATATGTATAACATTGTTCCATCTTGTAATATTGCAAGGGAAATTGTTGGGAAAGCAATGGGCAAGTGGTGTGTAGTGTTAATACTATGTTTTTGCAATAGAAGGTAATAAGTGGTGGTGGTGTGTTTTTTATACCTTATTATATAAATAGTTTAAGTTTAGAGTGTTATTCCATTTAAATATTTGGAGGAGTCAGTCCTCTTAACATCAGTTCTATAACGTAAAGAGGTTTGTTTTAGTTTATATTTTATGTGACGATAAACTTTGTTTTTATCGATTAGTGTAATAAACGTTTAATTTTTTCTGTTTTGTATATATTTTGATTGGTAAACGTATAATCATTGATGACGTGGATGTGAAGTTATTAATTATATTAGAAAAACAAAAATGTCATATTAAGATAGAACCAATGTAATGTAAGTTGATAACTTCTCTATCAGGTAAAATGAGTATAAAATCAAAAAAACTATCATGTAAAATGGACACAAAATAAGAACATTTTTCACAAAAACATGACTATACTATACTTGTGTCACATGTAATAATATGCGTGAGGAGTCCTAATGGTATGTGGATGATTTGGCCCATTATAATTAGTGATCGGAGGGAAGATCTGAAATTTTGTGAACAATGTGGAGTCGAGTTTGTTGATTCTCGGATACGAAGATATCAAATGGGTTGCATTAAACTCGCATACTCGGTAATGCATGTGTGGTATTTGAAACATTTTCTTAGTTATATTGTGAATCTTTTAGATAAACCTCTTAACAAGACCTAGTATGATGCAGTGTCAAAATTGAGAATTAAGAGTCAAAATTTTCAAAAGAAAATTTATATCCATCTCCAACAATTTTTCCATTTTTCATATCTCATAAAATATTATATTTCTTTCATATATTTAATTTAAAATATTCTCGTTAAGAATAAAAAATAATTTTTATTCATAGGTAGGTATTATTGGGGAATTCTCCAAATTTGGAGAATTTCACATTTTCTCTTTTTTTTTTCTTCATTTTGGAGAAGGTTCGGAAAACATCTACAAGAGTCCTGCTATGATTTTTCTAAAAAGGAGTATACAAAATTAAAATTTCTAAAAAAATTACATTCAACTCCAATAGTTAAATCCTACCATTAATCATACTATTAAAATATTTATTGTATTTAATAAAATATCATTTTTTTTTCTTCTAAATATTTAATTTCAATGTCTCTTAAATAAGAAGTTTTAAAGATTTCTCTCTCTAGTTTATCATACATTATAGTATATCTATTGGAGTAAAATTATGCTTTAAATCTCTAAATTAATATAAGGGATCGTTTATCAGATGCTTACTCTGGTAAGTAAATACCAAATCACAAAATTTTATTCGATGAATATGGTAAGGATCAAGAATCTTACCTGGTAAGAGCAAAACAAAGACCAAAAGTTTTACCAGACTCTTACCATGGTAAGCGCTTACATTGTAAATTATTGCATACGATGTCATTTTGATGGACTAAAATCTTATCCGATAAAAAAATAATAGTGTTAAATTTTACTAATAAACACTTATCGAATTAATGGTCGGTAAAAAAGAATATTTGTTGTTATTAGAGAAAAATCCTTAAAAATGCGTTGATGTTAGAGATAGTGTTACAAATCATTTAACAGTAATTCGTAAATGATTGGTAAAATAAACCATTTACAAATTTAACCCTGAACTGAACAAGGTTGGATCCAGTTTCAGAAGGCGGTGTCTGTCTCAATCTCTCTCTCCTCCTTCACCGACTCAATCTTCTCTCCCAATCTATCAATAATTTCATTCAGAATGGGCCGATCTGGAGCTGCAGCTGGAGATTTGTTGCTTCTCATCGCTCAAAACTTTGATGTACTTGCCGGGTATTATCACTATCACTAATTTCATTCTTATTATGGTGTTACGTTTACTGGTTATTTCGCTCATTTGGTGTGTGATTTTTTTGCAGGCCTGTAGTTAGTTTGGCTTATCCTCTGTAAGTTTCCTTCTTCTCCTTCTATCCTTTGGTTCCTCATCATACATTTGTAACTTCCTTTTTTGAGTTTCTATTTGCGTTCTGCATCAGATATGCTTCCATTAGAGCAATTGAGACTAAATCTGTTGCTGATGATCAACAATGGCTTACGTATTGGGTCTTGTATTCTATGATTACTCTTTTTGAGCTCACCTTCGCCAAGCTTATTGAATGGTAATATTCTTTCTCATTCACAGTTTACTCCATTTGTCCCTTTTCTTTGGTTGTGTTTGGGGTTTCAAAGCCATTCCAATTCCATTTTGTGGCTTAGAATTGAAGCCGACATAACCCTAAACAAGGAACTCATCTGAACCATCCATCTACTTTAATCCAAACGGCTGTATGGTTTGATCTAGGAGGAGGAATGAAAATGAAAATCACAAAAAAAATTCATTCTCTCAATTTATCTGGAATGAAAATTTGGGCATATTATATAAAAAGAAACAATTTCTTTTATATTCAATCTCATTAAGGACTGCATAATACCTATAACCAAACACCCACTAAATCCATGATTATAGGGATGATAATATTCAAATGGACCCATCTATATCTTAGATCCAACGTTGATAGGGGTTTTTTTGGGGTTCTCCCTTGAGCATCCCTCTATTCCATCTCTAAACCCTAAAAAGAATTGACATTTGGCTATGGAGTGTCAAATAAGTAGTCACTCTACTCTTTGGAGCAAAGGTTAGGTCTACATACATCTTTCAAGCCCTATAACCTTCGAGGAGGATATTACGGGCTAGTTTATTGTCGGTTTGTTTGATTTTGGTTACAAATGTTGATATTATATTTAACTACTTGAGAAGTACATCAAGTTGCGACATCCGATAAAATTAGAACAACACAGAGAAGATGAGCATGGTCGTTCCCGAGGATGACATGCGCAAACCGAGAAATGGTGGTGTGCCAGCGAGGATGCTGGGCTCCCAAGGGGGTGGATTGTAAGATCCCACATCGGTTAGGGAGGGGAATGAAGGTTGTCTTAAAAGGGACTGTATACCTCCTCTATCAGATGCGTTTTAAAGCCTTGAGTCTAGGTATGGACAAAGTGGACAGTATCTGGCACAGTTAACCTGGGATGTTACAAAGTTTCTAGATGCTTGTTATGAGCTTCTTGTCTTTTACCTTTTTGTTTCTGGGCATTTTATTTGTGGGTTGCTTGGCAGGATCCCGTTCTGGTCTTATGCAAAGCTGATTGTGACCTGCTGGTTGGTTATTCCACATTTTAGTGGTGCTGCGTATGTATATGAGCATTACGTTCGACCTTTCTACACAGGGAAACAGACCATTAACATCTGGTATGTCCCAAGCAAGAAAGACGTTTTCAGCACGCAGGATGACATCCTAGTTGCTGCAGAGAAATACATTCAAGAAAATGGCCCAGATGCTTTTCAGGAAATTATTCAACGTGTAAGCATCTTTCTCTCTATCTTTGTGGAAATAACAGCTCTGCACTTGAGGGCAGAGTTTTAAAAGACGGAATCGGGCCTCGAGGCGTAAGCCCCGGTGTGGAAATATATGAACACCAAAATATGTATATATACTACACAAATATATATACAATATGTATAATACCAAATTACTAAGGGCGTCGGTTCTGTTGTTCTTGACAGAGGAAAGAGTGAAACCGTGAGATTGACCGAGAGGGTGTGGAAAAATTGGTTGCTTGGAGGAAGAGAAATGGTCAAACCACATTTTTTGATCGAGAGTAGAAAATACTAGCTTTTGGGGCTTTAAAATATTAAATGGACACACCGGCCCATCGGGCTTTGACTTTTTGTTTTTTAAAATAAAAAAAGTATTGGCTTTTTGGGAGAAAGAACTAGCTTTTTGGGTTTTAAAACCATGCTTTACGGGTAGAACTCCATCTCCGGTTGGGAAGTACTAGGCTTGTTTGATTTAGTCTATTCTCATGGAAACAACTGCTTTACATACATCCCACTCCCAAAACCCCACTCTGGTTGGGGAATTGTGGGCTTGTGTGGTTTGGTCATGGAAACAACTATTCTACACTTTGGATAGATGGGTCTGTATACATCTTACCCATAAATCCAACATCCGTGTGGGATATACTGGGTTTGGTTTGATCTCATGGAAATAACCGCTATATTCTTTTGGCAGAGGACATGTCTATATGCATCCCACCCCCAAACCCACCTCCGGAGGGGATATACTGAACTTGTTTTGTTTGGTTTATGAATACCTGCATGCCCAAAGACACATTTGTGTTGACGGCTATATAAAACTTCATTGTTAATGTGATATTTATGTGTCTCCTCGTCTTTTGCAGTCCGATAGTGAAGTCAAGTATCGAGGTAGCAGTTTCATCTCTGAAAACGACTATGTATATTGAGGTTAGTGTGTGGATCATGCTGTTCCCTGTTCGCTTCTGGTAAGTGTAGATCGGTGTATAGATTAGCATAGCGGTGTTGTGTCCACAAAACTGTGTTTCTTTCGGCTTTTAGGTTTTGCGAATTTAGTTTCTGTTTGTGTCTAAAATTCTCCCTGTAAATTGGGTGTCTTTGCATGTGTACCGTTCAATAATGTGCCATTTCCGTTCCTTGTGTTATGGTCTTCCGTGGTGGTGTTAACTACCCAAACCGAACCAATCAAAGTAAGGGAATCTTACCAACACAATTTGGGGAAGCGGGTCTGTCTGGGTCAGCACCACCTGCTGGAGTAAGAGGCTCTCCCTTATCTTGCCAGGTGAGCATTGGTCAACGTCGTGGAGCGGTAAGAGTAGGGGTGTAAACGAGCCGAGCCAAATTGAGTACTAAAAAAAATGATATACCAGATTTGAGCTCGAATAACTTTTTTTATGTAGGGTTCGGGGTTTCGAATAATTTTGGAGTTGTCAAGCTCAAGCTTGATCTTCGGTTATGGGCTTGAACTCACTTATCCGCACGAGGTTGATAACTTTTATGCTTGTATTGATTTATGAACATATGATGATGTTTGGCTTGAAAAATGTATGCTCAAATGACTCAAAAAATTTAATTGAAGTTTCCGGATGAGGCGAACTTGCTATTTGGATTGTGTAGTATTGAATGAAGTGCACTCATTACTCATATTTGATAAATATCAATTTATGAATTATTAGATAAAATTTGAGCATAATAATTGGAATACTAATTTCTAAATTCAAGAGATCATAACAATTATAAGTTATGAACCGTTGACGATGAAATTCGTTAACAAATGTATGGATGTGGACCCAAAAATCGAAAAACCTTCATCGCAACCATAATATTAATACTCATCTGCAATGTATATATATATATACTAGAAGGGTAGTCGAGTAATATAGCGAGATAAATCTTGATTTTACTATTAGTTTTTATTTTGTTTCTATAGCTATAATCATATAATATGATTTTAACATTTGAAAAAATATAAATTTGAAGATAACATAAGAATTTGAAAAAAAATAAATTAATATTAATATCAAATTAATTATTTAATAGTTTTCGTTTTTTTAAGTTTTTTTAATTTATTTTTTTATTATAATTTAATTTAAATTTAATAACAAAGTAATTTATTTTTTATTTAATAATATAATTTTTTATAAATA